GCACTACCACGCCCGGCTAATTTTTTGATTTATTGTAGAGATGAGGTCTCGCCAAGTTGTACGGGCGAGTCTTGAACCCGCAGGCACAGGCAATCCACTCACCTCGGCCTCCCAAAGTGCTGGGATTACAGACTGAGGTACCGAGCCCGGCCACTTGAAGTTTTTTGTAATGAACATTTGTGTGTATCTGTTTTTTATATTCTTATATTTACGCTTAGAAGTCTTCATTTATTATGGATATATATTTCTGTTTTTTCCTCATGTGTTTAACTGTTTTTTTCTCTTTCTCTGTAAAGACACCTGTAGGTGTCAAATAAACTCTATGAAGTCTTTCAGTTATTCCACAATATACTTTGTGCTTCCAAGAATTTAGGATAGAACTGTTTTGTTACAGTGGTGGGATTTTTTTTGTGGGCCTGTGCACACTTTACCATCCCATTATATTTGACAGTTACATTTTGATTAAAGCATTGAAGCAGCCGGGCTCGGTGGCTCAGCCTGTAATCCCAGCGCTTTGGGAGGCTGAGGTGAGTGAATTGCCTGAACCCGCGGTTTCAAGACCCTCCTGGGCAACTTGGCGAGACTTCATCTCTACAATAAATCAAAAAATTAGCTGGGTGTGGTAGTGTGTGCCTGTAGTTCCAGCTACTCGGAAGGCTGAGGCGGAAGGATCCCCGGAGCCCAGCAGGTTGAGGCTGCGGTGGCCGGGAGCGGCCACTGTACTCCAGTCTGGGTGACAGAGTGAGACTCCAACTCAAAAAAAAAAAAAGCATTGAAGCATGCTACTGTCATCTAATAATTAAATGCCAAGGATAGTACTAAACAATCTATAATCTACAGGACAGCCCCCTGCGAAAGAATTATCCAGTCCTGATGTCAGTAGTTTTGCTATTAGAGATAACTGCAAAGACCCATAAAAATCTGTTGAAATTGTTCAGGTTTAAAATAATGGATTGCTTTTCTTCAAAATAGTGCATAAGAGTCTCATAAGTTTGCCTGTTAAGCTATTGCTTCTTCAAATTAGGGTTTTAATACAGTTTCAGGTATAATATGATCATTTGCATTCAACTATAAGTAATACTAATTATTTAGTAATATTTTGGACTTTTGTCAAGCCCTGCCGCATTAAGTGGCATAAATATCTAACAATATTTTTATAGTAAGATTTCAAATTCTTGTCATTGGGAATGGTTCTAAGACAGATGAAAATCTAGTGAGGTTTGAAAAATAGAATGAGAAGTAAAAGACTGTTAACCGTAGGGTGTAGGAAGAATTCCTGACGAATGGTTAGGCACAAAGTTCACTCTTCATCTAACTAATGCAACTGCAGTTTATAGCTAAGAATATTATGTGTCATGTTTAGTTTAAAGCATCCGTTCATTTGTAGAAATGTAAAGTCTTAAGGGTATTTTTGTCAATTTCAAATGTTGGTATGAAATGCCCCTGAGTAATGTCAGGTATCAGTGTTGGGCAAAGGTACATGTCAAGAAAAAGGCTAGCAAAGTAGGATTTTAGTAAATACCAGGTAAAGGCGGAAAGCACAATAAATAAGACTCTGTCATTAACTTGCTAGGGAAGTCATTTTCATCTCTGAGCTTGAATTTCATACAAAAAATTAGGGGAGTGTATTACTTACCTGGTTCTCAAACCTGGGTGCACATTAGTAATACCTGAGAATCTTCCTAAAAATGCAAATACTAGAAATCCCAAAGTAGGAAATAATTATTCTGTAGCTTTGGGGTAGGTATTTTAAATATGTACTCTATGTGATTATTTGCTTGAAGTTGATGTAATTATGATTAATCCTTTCTCGCTAAAATGTAGGCCTTCCCTTCTTAGTATATAGTAGTTTCTCTCTTTCTCTTTCTTTTTTCTTTGTGTATACAGGGTCTCAATACGTTGCCCTGGTCTTGAACTCCTGAACTCTAGCCAGCCTCCTGCCTTAGGCTCCCTGAATGCTCACATTACAGGCATGAGCCACTGTGCCCAACAGAAAGTAGTTTCTTCCTGGGTCACGTTTATTTTAAGAGTTGTCTGGTTCTGTGTTTCTTGAACTATCCATAAATTTCATGTGTTTGGACCATATTTTCCCAGTCTTTGTCTCTCCCATCCTGATATTCCATGATCCAGATTTTTTTTTCTCTCTCTCTTTGGCTTACCTTCATACATTTCTTTTAAAATGATTATCAGGTCATTATTGACCAGAATAGATTATTTTAAAATAATTCTAAAAATTCATTCCTGTTATTGAAAACTTAGAAAGACTTAATAAGAGTATAGTGGCCACTGCAGTGACTTTAAGATGATGAATGTTAGTGATGGTTGTAATTTTCTTTTTTTTTTTTGAGTTGGAGTCTCACTCTGTCTCCCAGACTGGAGTGCACTGGCCGCTCCTGGCCACTGCAGCCTCAACCTGCTGGGCTCTGGCGATCCTTCTGCCTCAGTCTTCCAAGTAGCTGGAACTATAGGCACGCACTACCACACCAGCTAATTTTTTATTTATTTATTGTGGAGATGAGGTCTTGCCACGTTGCCCAGGCGGGTCTTGAACCCACGGGCTCTGGCAATTTACTCACCTCAGACTCCCAAGGTGCAGGATTACAGGCTGAGCCACCGAGCCTAGCATAATTTTCTTTTCTAGTTGTAACAATATTATATTACATTTCTATTTACTGCCCTAAGGTATAATCCTGAGAAAATAACAAATTATTAAAAGTGGTTATTTATTGGAAATAACTAGAAAGGAACTAGGGGGCAAGTACTTTTTCCTTTGAATCCATCTAAACTCTTTCAATTATTTTTATATCAGCATGTATTACTTTTATAATTTAAAACGATGTCGATTTAATTACAGAATGATAAATACAGCATGATAGCATCTGTTTTTTAAAATGAATTGAAAAAGTTTGGTAGTACAGTACCATAATTTATTCAGTTATTTAGAATTCTCCAGTGTTTTTGTTATTTTACTTGTTTATAGAGGACAGGTGTATGATTGATATTTAACATAATAATATTAGAAATAAGAGAGAAAATGTCCTGTTAAGTCTATCACATAAAAATGTAGATAATTGCCATATTTAGATTTTCACTTTTTTGCTTATCTGTATTTTCTCATTATACAGTGAGCTTGTATGACTTAGAAGAGTTGAAAACAGCCGGGCTCGGTGGCTTAGCCTGTAATCCCATGCTTTGGGAGGCTGAGGTGAGTGGATTGCCTGAGCCCGTGGGTTCGAGACCCACCTGGGCAACTTGGCGAGACCTCATCTCTACAATAAATCAAAAATTAGCCGGGCACGGTAGCGTACACCTGTAGTTCCAGCTGCTTGGAAGGCTGAGGCGGAAGGATCGCCAGAGCCCAGCCGGTCGAGGCTGCGGTGGCTGGGAGCGGCCACTGCACTCCAGTCTGGGCAACAGAGTGAGACTCCAACTCAAAAAAAAAAAGGACTTAATAAATATCCTCCTATAAGTTATTCTTTTGAGTAGAATTGCTGCCTTAAAGATAATAAACATTTTCAAAGTTCTTAATATATCTTGCCAAATTGTTTTCCAAAGTGTTGATATCAATTTACAGTAGAAGCTTATAAGAGTACCTTTTCACCTTATAGTCATTGACATGGAGAATTAGCATTTTTTAATACATTCTCAGTCAGACAAGAGAACTAACATTTTTAAAATAGTAACTTTAGCCGGGCTCGGTGGCTCAGCCTGTGATCCCGTGCCTTGGGAGGCTGAGGTGAGTGAATTGCCTGAGCCTGTGGGTTTGAGACCCACCTGGGCAACTTGGCGAGACCTCATCTCTACAATAAGTCAAAAAAAATTAGCCAGATGTGGTAGCGCGCGCCTGTAGTTCCAGCTACTTGGAAGGTTGAGGCGGAAGATCGTGGGAGCCCAGTAGGTCAAGGCTGTGGTGGCTGGGAACGGCCACTGCACTCCAGTTTGGGCGACGGAGTGAGACTTCAACTCAAAAAAAAAAAAGTAACTTTATTATTATTATTTTTTTTGAGTTAGAGTCTCACTCCCTCACCCAGTCTGGAGTGCAGTGGCACGCTCATGGCCACCCCAGCATTGAACTGCTGAGCACCAGCGATCCTTCCGCCTCAGCCTTCCAAGTAGCTGGAACTACAGGCACGCACTACCACGCCCAACTAATTTTGTATTTATTGTAGAGATGGGGTCTCACCAAGTTGCCCAGGCTGGTCTTGAACCTGTGGGCTCAGGCAATCTACTCGCCGTGGCCTCCCAAAGTGCTGGGTTTACAAGCAGAGCCACCAAGCGTGATCTAACTTTAAATGGTAACACTTGATTTATATTTTTAAGATTATTAATTTTGAACATATTTTGATGTTTTGGGGATCTGTTTAAATATTTCGTTGACCTGTATTTTCTGTACATTTTTAACTGCTGTCAGTCTATAAAACGTGACCTGGCTACAATACATCTATTTCCCTTTTTAAATATTTATTTTTTATATTTTCACTGGTACATATGGTGTTATCATAAACATTTGTGTGCGGAATATATGCTGTGTGCTGAATATATGCTGAGATGTGGAATTGCTGTCTAATAGAATATGCATATCTCCAAGGTGTTTGTAGTAATTTCTACTTCCACCAGCAGCATATACTAGTTCTTTCTGTTGAACATTTATGTCTTTGTTACCACCACTGTGGCCCCATGTGAGACTCAGTCCTTAGGGCTCAATGAAGCACAATGTGACAAGACCAGAGATTCTTTCCAGAGCTTTTTTAATTTCTAAAATAACCATAGTTGGAAGTTAAAATTGAATGCAGTGTTCAGATATATCAATAGACTTGTTTTTTAAAAAGTCAAATAATGACATCACTTCCCATTTTTTTGCTGCTGTAGTCTCACAGTGATATGAGCAGCTATACGCGTGGGATACAATAAGACTAGGCCATTGTAAATTGAGATGAAGTAACCATTTTCATCTCTTCTGCATGGACTAGACATTGTTTGGGGTACAGTATGTCTAGATGTCCTGTGTAAGTAGGATTTAATCAAGGGCTCTTGTAGACTTATTTTATTAAAATGCTGTTATAAGAATTTTACTAAAGACATCTTTAAAAAGTTATTTTATTCCCTTTCTAGAAGAATCAAAAGAATCTGTTGCTGATGAACAAGAGGAAGACAGCGATGATGATGTTGAACCAATTACTGAATTTAGATTTGTGCCTAGTGATAAGTTAGCATGTGAGTGTTCTATAGTATTCTTTTCCTTTTATGTACCAAGCATTCCCCATTCTTGCACACATACAGCTCTCACCTTTACCATTATTACTTCCCTTCTTTTGCTTTTTCTTTATTGTAGTAATTCATTGAGTGACAAATACCTCTTAATGTCAAAGGTTGGGAATGCAGTGAGAGTATTGTAACTCCCTAGTACCTGGAATAGTTTGTGAGTGGAGGACTCTGATTAGTTTTATGGATTGATGCTGTTGACTTTGAATCTCACCTGATTGGTGGCAGAGGAGTTACAGCAATTCCAAAGTAGAATAACCCTGAATAGCTAGAAAGAGCCCTATCAGCTGAAAGGGCCTTCACCCTGATGCCAGCAGTTGGACCCGGATTCTGACCCTTTTTCTCAGAAAATCCAGTCAGCCATGAAGACATCTCGATAATATCTCAAAATGAACTCTTATTTTGTGACTTGTCCATTGCCTCAAGCACTTTTTGGGTTATCTTACTTGGAATTTGACAAATTTTGCAAATATTGTGACCTTAGTATGCCTCTTGTGTACCCATTCAACTTATTTGCACTGATGGTTATTTTTATTATAAAATTTTATTCTATACTGAAAAAATGTTAGTTACAATTTAATTTCTTCGTTCAGTGGAGGCGCTGTTCACTGCCATGTGTGAATGCCAGGCCTTGCATCCAGATCCTGAGGATGAAGATTCAGATGATTATGATGGAGAAGAATATGATGTGGAAGCACATGGTTAGTGAAATGTATTTTTTAAAGTTTTTTGTTTGTTTATTTAATGTTCTATTTTAAGCATTATTTGTTCTAGGGATAGAGAGTTATAGTTCTTTATATCTCTATAAAGTACTACTGTGGTATCATTATTAATAAAAGTGAATGACACAATGGTATACTTTATAGCCTAAACTCTTTGCAACAGACAAATTGGAGAAATGTATGGGCTTTCCAAGCTTGAGGGTAAAAAAATAGAGATAATTAGGGGGAGAATGGATAAATAGAACAAATGGAAGGAAGGAAGATGCCTGAGCCCGTGGGTTCGAAACCAGCCCAGGCAACTTGGCGAGATGTCATCTCTACAATAAATTTTTAAAAATTAGCCAGGTGTGGTAGTACGTGCCTATAGTTCTGGCTACTTGGATGACTATGGCAGAAGGATCGCCAGAGCCCAGCAGGTTGATGCTAGGGTAGCTGTGAGTGTGCCACTGCACTCTAGCCTGGGCAATGGAGTGAGAATGCAACTCAAAAAAAAAAAAAGAGAGAGTGGGTTGTCAGGAACATCTTGTAAGATGAGGCAGTTGTCCCAGAGAACAAGCCTTCTCTCTCTATACCTTGAGAGCCTAGATCCTCTATATTTTTATTTAACATACTCCTCCTAATAGCCTTCTGCCAAGGGCATTTCTTTTTCTTAGACCGTACTTCATTTATCTGTGAATGTTTTCCATTGCTTCCCCAGACCAGAATGCAGTTGCTACCCTGGTAGAGTCTTTGTAGCTTCGGTGCCTGCTCTGCTCTTGTCTTTTCCCCAGTGGTCTTATGCTCACCGTCTGGGTGTCAGATCCCTCTCCTCCAGGTGTGCCTACTTCCTGGCCTGAGACAAACACATTTCTGGGATTCTCCTTCACACACTCAAATACATTCTTATCTTTCTGGAATTTCTGAATGATTTTACATTTTTATCCTTTTTGTGTTTTCCAGAATTTCTGATTTGTTAAAAAGGGGCATGTGTTTTTTTTTGTTGTTGTTTTGTTTTATTTTAGAGTTGGAGTCTCATTCTTGTTGCCCAGGCTGGAATGCAGTGGCACACTCATGGCCACTGCAGTCTTGACCTGCTGGGCTTAGGTCATCCTTCCGCCTTAGCCTTCTAAGTAGCTGGAATTACAGACAAGGAGCGTGTATTTTAATTAGAAAACATATTCACTGTACAGATTAATATCAAGTAAATTTGTGCTCACCTTGTAAAATTCCCACCTCAGGATAACATAAGACTCTCTCTTAGGAGCACTCTTTTTTTTTTCCTAGTTCCTGGAAATGTAATTCTTTGGGAATTGCTGTTTCTATATCTTCAGCGCTGCCCTGTATATGTATATAAATGAATGTTGAAAAGTATTTTCCTGGAAGCCTATTTTCAGTGTACCTTATCTTTAGCAAATGCATTATTGATTATTGTTTTTTCTAATTGTTGTGTAATAGCTTTAAGTTTTCTGTTTGTTTAGAACAAGGACAAGGGGATATCCCTACATTTTATACCTATGAAGAAGGATTATCCCATTTAACAGCAGAAGGCCAAGCCACATTGGAGAGATTAGAAGGAATGCTTTCTCAATCTGTAAGCAGCCAGTATAATATGGCAGGGGTCAGGACAGAAGATTCAATAAGAGATTATGAAGGTGAGTGTCCTTTCTCTTCAGTGTGAACTGTCAAGTGGGTGCTTGGAGTTATGGAGAGGCTTATGAGTTCTTTTAAAAAACTCTTTTTTTTTTTGGAGTAGGAGTCTCACTCTGTCGCCCAGGCTTGAGTGCAGTGGCATGCTCATGACTACTGCAGCCTCTACCTGCTAGGCTCAGATGGTCCTTCCACCTCAGCCTTTCAAGTAGCTGGAACCACAGGCACGCACCACCATGCCCAGCTAATTTTTTGGTTTATTGTAGGTATGAGTTCTCACCAAGTTGCACAGGCTAGTCTTGAACCCCTGGACTCAGGCAGTCCTCTCACCTCTGCCTCCCAAAGTGTTAGAATTACAGGCATAAGCCACCACGCCTGATTTTTTAAAAATGCTTAAGAGAAGCCGGGCTTGGTGGCTCAGCCTGTAATCCCGCGCCTTTGGGAGGCTGAGGTGAGTGGATTGCCTGAGCCCGCGGGTTCGAGACCCGCCTGGGCAGTGAGATCTCATCTCTACAATAAATCAAAAAATCAGCTGGGCGTGGTAGCGCATACCTGTAATTCTGGCCACTTGGAAGGCTGAGGCAGGAAGGATCGCCGGAGCCCAGCAGGTTGAGGCTGCGGTGGCCGGGAGCGGCCACTGCACTCCAGTCTGGGTGACAGAGTGATACTCCAACTCAAAAAAAAAAAAAAAAATGCTTAAGAGAAATCTCAGAGTTAACTCTTCATAATACAGGAAGCAAATGTAGAATACAGAGAATGGGATTCTTATGTAATTTGTTTTTAGTGATTTGTTTCCTCACTACAAAAATAGTCTTTGTTGATAGACAAAAAATTTTTAAATTGCATAGGCAAAGAAGAAATGAAAAAATATCAAGTATAATTCTGAAAAATATCTACCATTAATTTTCTGTTGCACCTCTGTATTAATTTTCCAGGGGTGTCATAACAAAGTACCATAAAATGGGTGGCTTAAATAATATAAATTGATTGTCTCACAGTTTTGGGGGCCAGAAGTACAGGGCTGTTTATCTCTGAGGGCTATGTTTTAGTCTTCTCTCCTTATCGTGTAGATAGCTGTCTTCTCCTTATGTCTTTGTGTGGTCTTCCTTCTGTTTATGTGTCCCATATCTGTTTCCAAGTTTCCTTCTACTAGTCAGGGTTCTCCAGAGACAGAACCAGTAGGGATGTGTGTGTATACTCACATACATACAGGGGCATCTCTGCATTTTACATCTGTTTGCTTTTTACCATTTAACATCTGTTATTAAATGGCATAATCCTTCAAAAGTATAAAATGTAGTGATGTCCCCCTCTGTGTGTGTATATACATGCTTACATTCAGAGAGAGAGAGATTTATTTTAAGACATTGGCTCAGATGACTGTAAAGACTGGTCAGTTCAAAATCTGCAGGGTAGGCCAACTGGAGACCCAGGGAAGGGTTGGTGTTGTAGTGAGAAACCAAAAATTAGCCTAGAATGATGGCATGTGCATCTAGTCACAGTTACTCAGGAGACTGAGACAGAAGGATTGCCTGAGCCTAGGAGGTCAAGACTATGTTTAACCATGATTATGCCACTGCACTCCAGCTTGGGCAAAAAGTGAGACCCTGATTTAAAAAAAGAAGACCTTCAGCTGATTATCTGAAGCTGCCACCACATTATGTAGGGTAATCTGCCTCGCTCAGAGTCCACCAATTAGTATGTTAATCTTATGTAAAAAATAATCTCCGCAAAAACATCTAGAATAATGTTTCACCATCTATCTGGGTACCTTGGCCTAGCCAAACTGACACACAAAGTTAACTATGGCAGCCTTCTTATGAGGAGGACAACATATTGATTTAAGTCTTAGTTTAATGACCTCATATTAACTTGATTGCCTCTATAAAGACCCTTTGTCCAAATAAGGTCATATTCTGAGGTACTGGAGTTTAAGGACTTCAAATGAATTTGAGGGAGACACAATTCAACCCAAAACACTAAGAGAGAAATCTCAGAATAAACTCTTTATAGTATAGGGAGCACATGTAGAATTATATAGAATGGGAACTCTTATGCAATTTTTTTAGTGTTTTTTTTCCCTAACTACAAAAATAATCTATGTTCATAGTAAAAAATTTGTAGTGTGCACAAATTAGAGGTAGGAAAAAATCAAATACAGATGCAAGAACTGTCTACTATCAATTTTCTTTTGCGTATCCTTCCAATATTGTTTGTTTGCTTATGTGTGTTTATGTGTACAGATATTGATAATACCATTTTTATTTTTAAGTGAATTCCTATATCATTAAATGCAAAGTTAGAAGAGTCAGTTGATTTAAAGGATTAGTCAGCATTCAAGAAACTTGGGCTCTCTTCTCATGACAAACTTCTTGACCATAACCAAGTGGCTTTAAATGTTTGAAGTTTCTTCTAATTAAGTATCAAAGTTTGTTTGTATTTTCCCTGTTAGACTGGTTTCTTTCGTAAATAATCATGTTTATTTTAGAACCTTGAAGTATTCTTTTTACCCAACCTTTACCATTTATTCCCTTATCCAGTTTAAGTCCTAGTTCCATGGATTTCTCCTTAAGTTCATATCTCATTGCCATTACTACTGTTATCCTTCAAACCTAGGCCCTTTTTTCTTACACCAGATTTACAGTAGAAAATTCCTTTCCTCTGTCATCCCTCTAGCTCCTTAATTTTCTTAGAACACTTTTTAATGTCACTTTTATACAAAGATGTCCCCTCGGTGATTTCCTGATGCCCACCATTTAGTTCTTACTCTGAAGAGACAACCCTAATTGCTTTTGCTTGAATAGCTCCAGTCTTGTTCCTGCTGTCCTCAGTAAAGCACTTAAGATAATGCTTACTATGTGCCAGACCCTGATTTAAGCACATTGCACATATTTACTCAATCATTCCAAGAACGATTTGTAGTAAATGCTGTTATGATCTCCATTTTACAGATTAGGAAACTAAGGCACAGAAAGGTTACATAAATTGCTTGAGGTCAAATAGCTAATAAGTGATACGAGGATTAAATGAGCTAATATGCAAAAAATAATTCACCCACCACTGTTATAAGTCATTCTTTCAGGTCAGGTGAAAGCCTCATGCCTTATAATCCCAGCATTTTGGGAGGCTGAGTGGGAGGATCCCTTGAGCCCAGGAGTTCAAATCAGCTTGCGCAACTTAGAGAGATCTCGTCTCTGCAAAAATTTTAAAAATTAGCTGGGTATAGTGACACATGCCTGTAGTCCCAGCTATTCAGAAGACTGAGGCAAGAGGATCACTTGAACCCAGGTGCTGGAGGCTGCGGTGAGCTATGATCACAATACTACACTCCAGCTTGGGTAATAGAGTGAGATCTTAGCTCAATCATTCGAGAAATATTTCTTGCATCTTACGTGTATTTAGCATCCATGTATTTCGGAGTTTTAACACTTCTGATTTTTAGTGACTGCAGAATATTGTTAAAGAGACTTGCCATAGTTTTTCCTTTATTGGCACATTTAAGTTTCATCATGCTTGATCAACAGCTCTGTGCACAGAACATACTGACCTGTGTGGTTTCTGAAGCTCTGGAAGATTTTAATTGGAAAAAATTTGGGCTTTGGGTCACACTGTTATTCCTTATGTCTACCCTCCATTTTAAACTTCAACTGGTGAGAGACCTCAGACGTAGGCTTTAGAGTGACAGTGATGGTGACTCAGATGATTTCTAGTGCTCTACCATACTCTTAGCTGAAAGAATTCAAGATGTTACCTTTTTTAAAATTACAGTGGTTAACTAACAAGTGCAATGTGGATTTCATCACTGAAGCCTTTTTTTTAATTGTAAAATTCCTTATTCAGTGCTTTATAGCAAATAATTTTAAGGTTATAAACACATTTTCCTAAAGTGAGATTTCTGGACTTTTATTCATAAGCCTCATTAACACATTGAAGTTGGCTATATATAAAACATCTTCAGCCTACACCAATCTCCATCTCTGAAGTCCTGAGTGCCCACGTTGTTATTTTTGCCAGTGAAACACATGCTGTCTTTTAGTGGCATTTCAGTGCTTCATGTACTCATTTATATAAGAGACAGTTATTGAACTATTGCCCCAGGTACAGATAATACAGCAGTGCTTGAGATATGAGGTTACTGTCTTCATATTAATGACATTCTAGTGGAGAGAAAAATAAGTTAACAGTACATTGAAGTACAGCATTGAGGTCCAAGAGATGCTTGGGAAGCTGTGGAATTTTTTTTTTTTTTTTTTTTTTTTGAGTCAGTCTCACTCTGTTGCTCAGACAAGTACAGTGGCACGCTCATGACCACTGCAGCCTTGACCTGCTGGACTCAGATGATCCTTCTGCCTCAGCCTTCCAAGTAGCTGGAACTACAGGCGCATGCCATCATGCCTGGCTAGTTTTTTTATTTATTGTAGAGATGAGGTCTCACCAGTTTGCCCAGGCTGGTCTCAAACCCCTGGACTCAGGCAATCCTCTCGCCTCCACCTTCCAAAGTGCTGGGATTACAGACTTGAGCCACTGCGCCTGGCAAGAAAATTTTTTTATGTGGAAAGGTACTTAATTTTAGATACATGTGTTGACCTTTTGACTCCTCAGTGGTGGGCTTCCCAGGGGCTATGGGCAGAAGCTACTTTGTGGTGGGCTGAAGAGTTCAGGGGTAAGTGGAAGGTGAGATGAGAAGACTTTTTCCACAGGAATTTTTAATTTTTTTCTTGTCCCCTCCTCACCTTTAGTTTAATGAGACGAGAAAATCAGAGATAAGCAAGAAGCTTCTCTACTGATTTTTGTCTTTTCTCTAAAGTGTTGCCAACTTTGTTGTGAAGTTAGGGCTGCATACCTTTAAAAAAAGTCTAACAGTAAATACTTAGAACAGATCTGTTTGAAAGTTCCTACCTGGATTTTTTAGTGTTGATGTTGAGAGTTTACAAAGTAAATATTAAATATATAGACTGATTTTAACTTGGCCTAAATCCCCAGGCAGTATTTTCCTTTCTCAGTTTGTTCCTTGATACTTTAATTTTCAAGAGTTAAAAAAATAGCAATTCTTACCAACAGAGGGCACTAGCTTCCTTCTGGTAGAAGTTATAAGCTGATTCTTATCTGAAGTGTAGTGTTGCTCAGCTGTTAATTAATTAATTTACTTAGATGGGATGGAGGTGGATACCACACCAACAGTTGCTGGACAGTTTGAGGATGCAGATGTTGATCACTGAAAATGTTGATCGTTGCTTTAAGGTGAGTGGTTTTTTCCTCCCTTGAAAACCATACGAAATGATGAATTTTTATTTTCATTCTTCAAGAGAGTTCTATATAATTAGTAGTTTGGAAAAATGTTTATTTCTGGAATTATTGAAAATTTGATGGCTGTTTTTTTCTTCTAAGAAATCAAGGGCTACACACACAGTGATGTTCAGTTTAACATTTACTGTATACTTACCATATGCCAAGCACTGCATTAGGCATTGAGGGTACATATAAGATCCATCACAGTCCATCTTCAGTGAACTTATGAGAGTGATATTAGCCATTTCTGCAGAAACAGCCCTTCTTGGTCAGCTCAGGTGAGAGCAGTAGAGTCTGAGGTCATGTCCTGGTCTACTTCTGAGTCACCTTTTCTCACTTGTAATGTTTGAAATCTCAACATGTTCATCAGAAAACGCAAAGCAGAGATGTGCTGCAGCTCACTGCTTTTCAGTCAAGTGAGGAAGTAGAAGTAATTACAAACTGAGTTTAAACCTTTAATCATAATCTTATATCATTTTCCCTCCTCCTGGAAATAATAGGTGATCCGGGCACTAGGCACTTTCGTGTAACTATAACAGGTTTGTATAGTTGTCCAAAAGCCATCATTTTCCAAGTTGTTTCCTGCCTGCTTTTCATGGCTTACGTAAGAGATTGCTGCCATTTTTCTTTCTCTGACATATTCTCAAGCTTTGCCTGAAGTTTGTCCCTATTTTTTTCTTTATTTTAAAAATCTTTTTCTTATTAGGCCTCAGGCCTTTTAGATGATGTCCCTGATTATGTATTTGCTACTTCATTACTCTGAGAAATATATTATCCTTTGCCAGCCTGCATGTTGCCGGCCCATATTTCTTTTTTCTTTTTTTTGAGCCAGAGTCTCACTCAGTTGCCCAGGCTGGAGTGCAGCAGCACTCTCACAGCCACCGCAGCCTCAGCCTGCTGGGCTCAAGTGATCCTTCCTCCTCTGCTTTCCAAGTAGCTGTAACTACAGGCATGTACCACCATGCCTGGCTAATTTTTTGATTTATTGTGGAGATGAGGTCTCACCAAGTTGCTCAGTCTAGTCTCCAATCCCTGGTCCTCTCCTCCTCCTGTGCTGGGATTACAGACATGAGCCACTGCGCCTAACTGCCAGCCTATATTTCAATTGTATGTTAGCTAATAACTGAAGGTCATGTTCATTTCATTCTGAGCGAGGCCTAGTAGTTGTAGTAGGCCTTCCTTTATAAGCTGCTGTTAAATTGTCCCTCTTTCCCCCTACAGTGTCCTCTTACCTATGTCATTATAGCATTATTTTCCTGAATATTGGCTGTCTTTCAGTCTTGAGATGCCACTGCTACCCAAGTCCTTTTATTTTATTAAAGCATATAGTAATAGCATGGCAAGAGTTGACTTGACTCTGCTGCCACTCTCAGCCAGTCATTTAGGTTGTGAGATTCCTTGTTATTCCTGCTGTGTTAAATATTTCAAGATTTCTTCTCTTTGTTCCTGTATAGATTTTTAGTTTATTGGCTCTTTCTCCAGTTAAAAGTTTTCTTTTAACCTCTCTGTTCTGTGTTATATTGGAAACTAGTCTCTTAAAGTTTCAGTTACATACCAAGTTGTTGCCATTGTGAATACTGAATAGCATTGCTTCTTAATACTAATATAAATTTTGATATTGGATCGCTGCTTGCTTCTCTGGTCCTGTCGGGGGAACTATCAGAAAATAGCCTCTTAGAGTTCTGTGATTTATATCTCTTCCCTTAAACACTAATTCTTATTTCCACACTCACTATATGATATATGTGGTATACCACCTATTACACATATGGTTTGTTATATATGTACTATTATGTAAGTAGTATATAATACAACTTATTTAAGTGGTCCAACTTAAGTCTTCTTTCCCTATTTGTCATCACATTTTTTTTTTATAGCATATTGGTTTTTTCAGTTCAGTGATACTTGTTTAGTAACTGTTTTATTGATACTGGAAAACAGACTTTTGGATCTTTTGGCTTTCACCTATTTCCTTTTGGAAAATAGACTGTTCAGAAAACATCAACCACTCTTTTATTAAGGATCATGAGAAACTCATTTGGTATGTTACTAAAGGTTACACAAATGGGATGTTAAGGCAATCCCTGGCAAGAATTCTTAGGATTCTTTGTGATGGTGAAATACCCACAAAATAGCCACAAACTTTTTAATGAGTTTTGTCTTCTGCTTATTTTATGCTAGTGCTCACAGGCAGAGAATTATTTTAGTCATAATATTTATACATATTCTTTATCTGGATAATTGCCCTGAATCCCAAACAATGTCTGTAAATTTTTGATGATTTAAAGTGGCATAAACCTTTAAAGAATGATCAAAGAATAATTAGAATATTTATGCAACGATTAATAATTTCAAGATAACAGAACTAGGACGTCTATCAGTGCATGAGGTGGAGTGAAGGAGGTGGCATATGAATGGTGGCATCACAACTCTGCCACATACTGGCTATATGTCTTTGGACAGGGCAGATAACTTCTTTAATCCTCACTTCCCCATCTGTAAAACAGGGATGATAATAGCTGCCTGGCAGGGTTGTTGCAAAGACTGAGATATAATGTGCCCAAGTCCTGACACTCTTGACTAGGCGTTCAATAAATGATAACTATTATTATAAACACTGTAAACCTTTTGTTTTTCAGATTCTGCTGATAACTGTAGGAGAGAACTTGGTGCCTCTTCCACTCTGGAGTGGGGTTGATGACAGTCTTTTTCTTTCTCCAAAACTCATCTGAACCAGTTCTTTTTCGAGACAGACTATATTGAGACAAGTTGTCACCAGCAGAAGATACTATGACCTTTATTAACAAAGGTGAATTAACTTAACCAAGAGGGTATTTGTAGTTTATTATTTACCCCAAAACTTTCTGTGGCTAGGTACCCTCTGAGTAGGCCTATACTTCCTGCTGCCTTCACTGTATGCATCTTCTGTAAGCTGGCAGGCCTGTGTGGTGAAAATGCATAGGATCTTGGAAGTGTAGGTAAACTGGGAAACAGGCTGAAGCGAAGATACGCTTCTTTGGGGCATGAGGGGATTCATACCCATAAAAAGACAAATCTTAGAGGAATCCTGGCCTCTGCTCATTCTCCATAGAGACAAGAGTCTTCTACTAATTTGGGGTCCACATGAATTAATTCAGGCATCTCTAGGTAGCCTCTTCAGAAACACCTCCACCACAAATACTCCCACTGACTTAAGTACTTCTGACTAGCTTTTGCTTCTTTCACATTTCATCATTCTGCTCTGTTATAACCTCTTAGGTTATATCTTTTAATTTCCAACCTCTTAGGTTAGTTTCTGTAACAGAACAAGTGAATCTGGGATAAAGTCCTCAAAGTACTTCAAATGGTAATTGTTTTGCATTTGTAATAGCTTAACAAATAAACCTAGGTTTTCTATAATACTGTGCTTTTCTTCTTGACTAAAACCATCAATGAGAAATATTTTGTAGAAAAATAGTCCTGGCAGATACGAGAATTTTGTTGGTCCTGTTTTTGTTCACTTGTTGAGAACATGAACATGAAATTAATAAGAAAATGTATAGCTAAAGCTTCTGGCAATTAGTAAGGCAAGAATTTAAACATTTCAGGAGATTTTTGCTATTTGCTCTTAATCTGGAGTAATTTCTTATATTTATCAACTCTCAATTTTAGTTTTCACAGACACCTGGGTATTTATAAGGCTGATTCATAACAGGTTTATACTTGGACTTTCGATACCATTATATGGCCTTAAAAAATAAGATTAGACAGGCTATTCAGAATCAGTTGGCTAACTAGTGACTAAACTCAAGTTTGACATTACTCAACCCAGTGTTCTTTTTTTTTTGTTGTTGAGTTGGAATCTCACTCTGTCGCCCAGACTGGAGTGCAGTGGCCGCTCCTGGCCACTGCAGCCTTGACTGGCTGGGCTCCGGCAATCCTTCTGCCTCAGCCTTCCAAGTAGCCGGAACTATAGGCACGCGCTACCACGCCTGGCTAATTTTGATTTATTGTAGAGATGAGGTCTCGCCAAGTTGCCTAGGCGGGTCTCGAACCCGCGGGCTCAGGCAATCCACTCACCTCAGCCTCCAAAGGTGCGGGATTACAGGCTGAGCCATCAAGCCTAGCAGCCTAGCATTCTTTTCAGCAATTTCACCTGGGATGAGGTCTCGCCAAGTTGCCCAGGCAGGTCTCGAACCTGCGGGCTCAGGCAATCCACTCACCTCAGCCTCCAAAGGTGCGGGATTACAGACTGAGCCACCAAGCCTAGCAGCCTAGTCCTCTTTTCAGCAATTTCACCTGGTTTCCTCATCCCTCAAAATACGATGAAAAAAACCCGAATTTTCCTTTTTCTAACCAGAGTCTCTGAAATTCTGAATTTGTTAGAGTAGACAAGTAAAAGAAGCACTTGGAAATGGAAACTGAAATTTACTGAGATGTCTTACCATCCATCATCCTGAGTTTTTTATATATGTTATGTATTATAATCTGAACTACCTTTTAAGCTACTTTTGTCCCATTTTATAGATGAGGAGAATGAGTTAAGTAGAGTAACTTGCTTAAGTAGATAGATACTTGCTTATGTAGATAGTAAGCTATGATTTTTAAGCCTGTGCTCTAAAACATCATACAACCTCCGTCTACCAACAATTGAAGGGAAGCAAATCTTTCTAGTGCTGCATGGTTTTCACTGTTAAAGTTTTAATGGACAGCACAGGAGGTTCCCAAATTTCTCTGAGCAGCCCCCATAATTGTATCCTAGAAGTTTATTCTTAATTCATGATATTCTCATAGACTAATAATACTAGAAGTTCATTTGAGTTCCTTTTAAAAGTAATAAATTTGTAATTGTGACTTTCAGTGAAGTATAAAGTACTCTGATAACAAGATGTTGAGATTCAGAGTGCACTGTTTCCTGTTGGTGTTGCTGTGGTCAGCCTGGTATCGTGGATAATGCAGTACCCAGAGAGGCAGGAGACCAACGATAATCTAGTTCTGGCTTGGCAGACAAAAGGTTTAAACTCTCTGGGCCTATTTCCTCATCTGTAAAATGAGGGGATTAGACTAAATGACTTTCAAAGACTCAGCTATAACATTCTGTAATACTAGGTAGTTGTATCCATAACTTTGAAACAATAGGAGAAGCTGAGAAAAAAGATCAGATCAGACTTTTTAAAAATGAAATTCATAATGACTATCAGCCAACATTGATTGCATTTATTGCTTGTGTGTTCTTGATGTAGAGAAACGTTAAAGGCGTAGTCATTTCCCCTATAAAATGAAAGCCATCTAAAATATCCCTAAAAGCTATGGTTAATGGTTCTCTGTTCAAGGTTCTATCATTTTTTAAATGTGTTCGGGTCAGGTATGGTGGCTCACACCTATAATCCCAGGACTTTGAGAGGCCAACACAAGAGGACCACTTGAGGTCAAGAGTTTGAGATCATCCTGGGCAATATAGTGGGATCACATCTCTGCAAAAAAAAAATTTTTAATTAGCTGGGTGTGGTAGCATGTACCTGTAGGCCCAACTACTTGAGAGGATGAGGTGGGTGGATCACTTGAGCCCAAAGAGTTCAAGGCTGCAGTGAGCTATAATTGGGCCACTGTCATCCTGCCTGGGCAACAGACAGAATAAGACCCTGTCTCCAAAAAAAACCCTAAAATTAATGTATTCATTAAAATGTGATGATCCCTAATACTGTATGAAAGAAATTGGCAGTAGCAGGTCATTGCCAGGGAAGTGGGGAGGGGGGACATAATCACATACCTAATAAGGGTACCTTATCCCAAACCAGGCAATGGGAGGACCACTGGGAGGCCCAAACTTCACCTGTTCAATGACTATCTATGTACCTAACCCTGAATTGTACTCCACATCTTTAAAATTTAAAAAAAATTTTTATTAGCATATAACAATGCTAAGTAATTATACTTGAAATATTTTCAACCTGTTATTAGTTATATAGCAAATCTGCTTAGTACTTTTTCCAAAAATTCATTATTGCACTGAATTCCTCTCATCTGAGTGTAGCTTAGATGTATTTATTTATTTTTTAATTTATTTTTAATTTATAATTATTTTTTGAGTTGGAGTCTCACTCCTTCCTCCAGCCTGGAGTGCAGTGGCATGCACGCTCATGGCCACCCCAGCATTGATCTTCTGGGCTCCAGTGATCCTTCTGCTTCACCCTTCCGAGTAGCTGAAACTACAGATGTGCACGATCACACCCGGCTATTTTTTTACTTTATTGTAGAGACAAGGTCTCGCCCGGTTGCCTGGGCTGGTCTTGAACCCGCAGGCTCAGGCAGTCCACTCACCTCAGCCTCCCAAAGTGCAGGGATTGCAGGCTGAGCCACCGAGCCCGGCCAGATATATGTATTAACACATTCGCGACTGGCAAAATTTTCACTTTCCTAATACTGAGAGCGGATGAAAATTAAAAAAAAAAAAAAAAAAGTGAAGCTGGTTGCCACAAACTTCTGTCGTTAAGCACAAGTGAAATGGTCTTTTCTAAATTGTCACCTTTTTCATAATACAGCTGAAAGTTACAGACATATCCAGTATTTGTCTCAGACACCACTCTGAATAGCATTACGTAGTTGATATTTTTATTTGGATTATAAACCCGAAAAGACAGCCTTCCATGATAAGGTATCGTGGGTTCATCCAAGGGAAGTTTTTGTTTAATTTGTACACAGTGTTCAAATTATTTAAAACAATTTATTACAGTTTTGATTTTGCATAATCTGCTTGGACTTGACTATATTTCTGCATTATTGGAAAAATGCAAAAACTGCAAAATTTGAAGCACTCTATTTCGTGTCATTATTTTTTAAAAGAAAGGTGTCTCAATTGATGGATATGTTGACCAATAAATCACGTATTCTAGTTTTCTTCTCTTGTCCCATCAGAATATTTAATGCTAGAAATTTTTTCATCTTGGACACTGTAGTATTGCTCTGCTTTTTTTATTTCTTTGAACATTTATCTCTTGTGGTGCATCTGATCATTATACCTGTTGGTTTCACTTGCGATCATTTCTGTAAAGTCATCTCCAATAAATAGTCTGACAACTTCACTTATACTATGAGGATCATTTAGAAATATCTTGACACCTGGATTACCAATAAACACTTCTAAGTTTCTATTTGGATATAGTTTGTCCATTTAGTGTCTGATTCATTGTCACCAGGACTAGATTCACTATCATAGATGATGCGCATTATATTTCTCAGTTTATATTGAATCATTACATCACTGTCTGTCTCAATATCACTAATAAGTTCACTGAATTCACCTTTGACCTCAAAAATCTTATCAGCATGTATTTCTTCATTTTCCATAATTATAGTAAATTATTTTTAGCATTGAAGTATGAAAGCCCTGAAATATCAAAGTACAATTATACAAAACTAACCGCAAATAAAAATGACCAACTTGCAATTTTTACCAACTATATAAATCAATAATATTGCAGTATCAGATGATTAATCTCAGTTAACTTTCTCCTTGCCTCACTATTCATTTTCAATCAAAATATAATAACATGTGACAACATTGCAGCAGTCAGAAACAGAGTTTGCAAAGACATAAATTCATGTTAGCAGCAACCAGGAACAAAATTTGGAATGACAAATTCACGTCGGCAGTCGCAAATGAGTTAAGATGTGGCTCTCTAGCAATTCAGTAAACATCTATGTTCTGAGTGTGTTCACTAAAAAAATGGTATAAAAAACATGATCCCTATGGATTTCCTTCTCCCTCAGATTAGTTTGTCAGATATTTATACCTTTTAAGGAAGCTTCTTTAAGTCCATATGTATTTTGACTTGTTAGGAACTTCCTTATTATTAGTAAAGGTGAGAGATTATGCACAGATGATCGTAACATACATGTTGAGTATCCCTAATCTGAAATGCTTCAGAATCCGCAATGTTTTAGGTGCCAACACGATACTCAGAGGAAATGCTCATTGGAGCATTTTGGAATTTGGATTTTGGGATTAGGGATGTTTAACCAGTATAATGCAAATATTCAAAAAATACCCAAATCTGAAATACTTCTCGTCATAAGCATTTTGGTTAATATATAGTACAGGGATACTCAGCCTGTATAGTCCTTTACTTTGTGAAGAATGGTGTGATTATTAATTGTTCAGAGATATTCTATATTTAGATAGAATTGGTCTGCAGAATTTCAGACAGGTTGACTATTTTGTAGCTGATTTCTCATGCATGTTTTATTTTAAAAGTATTTCTAGAATGGGTGAATCCACCTCTGGTACTCACCTTTTGTGGCCAATATATAGTAATTAAGTTCTAAGCAATCTCTCTTTTTTTTTTTTGAGTTGGAGTCTCACTCTGTCACCCAAACTGGAGTGTAGTGGCCGCTCCCGGCCATTGCAGCCTTGACCTGCTGGGCTCCGGCGATCCCTTCCGCCTCAGCCTTCCAAGTAGCCAGAATTACAGGTGCACGCTACCACGCCCGGCTAATTTTTTGATTTATTGTAGAGATGAAGTCTCACCAAGTTGCCCTGGCGGGTCTCGAACCCGCAGGCTCAGGCAGTCCACTCATCTCGGCCTCCCAAAGCGTGGGATTACAGGCTGAGCCACGGAGCCCGGCCTGCAATATCTCTTTTGCGGATCCTAATGGAATTATTGCCCTTTCATGAAGGAGCGGGAATGTATTTCCACAAACATGTCTCTCCATTCATATATATATATAAATAAAGTCAGTATCAAATTTGGGGAACTATAATTTCAGATGGCAAAAAAAAAAAAAATTGGGTGAGAGAAGTGAACCTGGTTAGGATTTGTTTTTAACTTAAAATAAGATATATAATATAGGGATAAAAAAAGACTAAGTAACTATGTACAGGCTGATACTTAGAGGGTTGGGTTTTTTTAGGATTATTTTGGAGATTTCCTGAATCACTAATACATGTAAAGCACTTAGAACAACAGTGCCTGGAAAATAGCTCAATAGGTGTTATTACCAACGGCTGTAGTTACTTGTCATAACAGAAAAGCAGCTACAAATATAACAACCCATCATTTAGAGTATGTCTGAGAAGCTTAAAGTTTTAAAATCCACTGAGTCTACTAAAGTAGATTTCATGAAAGGTCACATTTTTCTTATGGGACCTTTAGGTCTTCACTGCAGGTCTCGAGACCTACTCTTGTTCTACAAACAGGTCTGATGCACTTCAGCATCTAGTTTCTAGGCATACAACAGGTTAGAAAAGAAGGTCGATCCATCGATAGCAGCTGTAAACAGCTGACAGAATTATGAAGAAAAGCAAATATATATTCCTCCAAATAACAGTGTAATCCTGTACAAGTGACCCCCAAAACCAGAATGTATTTATAAAGAATTGTGTATTCCTACATGTTTAAACTTCAGTCACCTTCAAAGTACTCTTGGATTGATACACCTATCGAGACTGTTTCCACTGCTTAAAACAGTTTTTGAACTTGTCAGATTTGGTGCCTTTTAGTGCTTCTGCCACTTTTTGTTTGTTTCACCTCTTCTACATTGGCAAAATATTTCCCATTGAGGACTTTTTTTGAATCAGGGAAACAAAAGTTGCTCTGGGCGAGATCAGGTGAACAGGGAACGTGGGGCACAGAGTTCATGCCAGTTTTGGGCAAAAACGATGTGGACAGGTGCTCTCACAAATCACCCACCATGAAATGGGCAAATGTGTTGAATGAGTGTCCTCTCAAAAATTGACTGAAGCCAAAGGCAGCCTCTCACAAGAATGCTAGCTGGTACACTGATGCCGATGGGTTCCTGGAGCACCTAGGGGGGGAAGCCTGTACTACAAGGGGCCCGCCCTCCAAAAGGTAATTCTGGGTTTTTTGGGGGGAGGGGTTCCCTCTTATATAGTAGGCAGTTCAAATAGGAGGATATTTTATGTTCAAAAAATTATGTCCCTGTATCAGACCAAATTCTGGCTGTAAATAATCCAAATCTGGCTAACTTGAGCAGAAAATATTAGAAGTCTGTCTGGTAGCTTGCAAAATGGACAGGAAAGTTGAAATAAACCAGACTCAAAAAGTTAAGGTTGGTTCTGTGTGCCTTAGTTGCCAGGGGCAGAAGGCGTATATGGCCCTTTCAGCTTATACAGTGGAAGTGCAATTCCCTGCGCATATTCTCACAGGAGTGGATTACTCCAAATAGAAAAGATGCTTAGATGCTGGCTTGCAAAAATTTACAGCTGTCTGCTGCAATCCCTTTTTTTTAAAATTGCAGTTATATTGCTCGAGTGCAGGCTTGGAATAGGCGGACAGTTGGATTCATCAAGTTGAGGCTAAGACATGAGTATGATGGAATTGAGGAGCAAGGGAGTGAAAGTGTATGCAAGCATGTATGTGATGGTTGGGCAAGTGATTTAAGCTGCTCAAGGAGAAGAGGGTATTTGAAGGGTGCGGGATATGAAAAAATGGTTATTAGTGGACAGAAGTTCCCTCATGGAGGTCTCAGGGTCCCTGGAGATGGGGTCTTAGAGTGACTGAGCTGGGAAGGGGTCACTGATTTTAGAGTGGGGTATCTGAGGTCATAGAAAATTTCAATTATTGGTAGTAAGCTCAAGTTACCTCTAAAGTCACAGCTGAGGCAGAGTAGAAGAAAATTATCAAAGGAGAAAGCCAAAAACTCCAAGGCCAGACATCAGAAGGATGATTTTTGTGGGTATAAATCGTCAAGAAATATAACTGTAGTAGTGGTGTAGAGAATGAGTGAGACAGGAACTAAGATCCTGGAGGGTGGTTTTTGTTTTTTTGTTTTTGAGTTGGAGTCTCACTGTTACCCAGGCTGGAGTGCAGTGGCACATGCACGGCCACCGCAGCCTCAACCTGCTGGGCTCAGGCAGTTCTTCCACCTTAGCCTTCCAACTAGCTGGAACCATAGGCACACACCACCACGCCCAGCTAATTTTTTGATTTATTGTAGAGATGAGGTCTCACCAAGTTGCCCAGGCTGGTTTCGAACCCCTGGGCTCAGGCAGTCCTCTCGTCTCCACCTTCCAAAGTGCGAGGATTACAGGCGTGAGCCTTCGCACCTGGCCCCTGAACTAAGATCTTAAAGGACAAAGGGGAGCTGAAGGACTATACAGTAGATGACTGCAACAAGTACCCAGGTAGCTGATGACATGTTTTTAATGGAGGAAGCAGAGGATGATGGACGAGTAGCAGCAGTGAGGACAAGGAAACCTATTCCACCTCTAGGCACAGTGGTATAAGAGGTGTAGGAGAGAAAACAGCCAGTACTTGAGAGGGCTGCAGGAGAAGCAGTGTCATCAGATGTCACAAACTCAGAAGTCTCAGGTGAAATTCAGAGGGCTGGGCATTTTCACAAATTAACACTCGTTTTTCTTAAACCACAAAAGTCCTCATTCTAGACACATGAGTAAAAAGATATTTCAGTAAGAAAAACAGCCATGAAACAGTGAGACTCAGCCTCATGTTGGAAGATGGGACCTTTTTAAATTGAACGTTATTTTGTGGTGTTGCATGGCAGAATTCTGGCTTAGTACTGCAAGGTCTTTTTTGATTTTGTTCAAGAGAGGCCGTAACTATGGATTTTTGTATGAAAAAGGCTTTTTAAAAATACTGTGCAGGCCAAATAAAAGATGTCAGAGACTACATTTAGCCATTCAGTCATAATCTTCAACTCTGGTTTTTAAAGTAAAGACTACTGTGGTATTTGTAAGTTAGAGTCAAAGTAAAGACTACTGTGGTATGTATTTGTAAGTTAGAGTCAAAGTCTATGATCATTCACCTGGCTGTCTTGTTGGGTAGAGCTTTACACCTGTTTAGCCTGCAGGTGTAAATAGAATGACTATCGACAAGCTGATCACCAAGCAGCATTTAAATTACCTGGCAACTTATCAGTTGTTTGTTAGCTGATTATTACTCAGATTGTATCTTGCTCCATATTTTTTACTTTCTTTTTTGTTTGTTTTGTTTTTCGAGTCATTCTCACTCTGTTGTCCAGGCTGGAGAGCGGAGGCACAATCATGGCCACCACTGCCTCAAACTGCTGGGCTCAGGCAGCTGGAACTACAGGCCTGAGCTACCACGCCTGGCTAATTTTTTGATTTATTGTAGAGATAAGGTCTAGCCATGTTGCCCAGGCTGGTCTCGAATCCCTGGGCTCAGGCAGTCCTCTCACCTCCACCTTCCAAAGTGCTGGGATTACGGGCATGAGCCACCATGCCTAGCTGTTTTTTTTACTTTCAGTTCTAACTCTGATAATGGAATTTCCTTTGAAGAAAAGCACAACCTTTTATGGCCTGAACTTTTAATAAAAATTACACCTCATACAATAAAATAAGGCTTCTAATACAGTAAAACATGAAGATTCTTTAAACCTCAAAAATACTAGTCAATTCCCAAACAAATTTTAATATTACTATAAAGTATTTAATGTCCCTCTGAACCTTCAGTTCTCCTTTAGTCATAATCATGATTGAGAAGAACTTCTGGATTGAAGTAGAAGTCTCAAGTAGAAGGTATTTGGCCCTCTGTGATCTAAGGCAGGCAGCAAACCCCTCTTGACTTAAGTTTCCTTATCTGTAAAATGGAGATTAAAAATACATGCCCTGCCTACTTCATAACGTAGCAGTTAGGATCCCATGAGAATGTGAAAAGCTTAAATCTTGACTGTGTGTGGCTGATGTGTTTTTTTCTATTTAAGAATAGCCTGAAGCTAGTGAGAGTATCTATTTAGAGAAAATACTTCATATGATAGGCTATATTTAAATTTAGAAAACCCCTTGAGTGTCAGTGGATATATAATCTACTTCCAAAGGCAACTTTCCTATTGAAAGATAACACTGCTGATGTTATCACTGTGTGAGGTAGTGGCTGAAAAGTATCCTCCCCAGTTCTGTACTGGGGGTTGACTGGCTGTATTTTGGTTAAAAATCCTGTTCATTCAGGTGACACTTGATATGTAAGTTCTTTGGTCCTACCCACCACTTTGCCTTTTTACCCTGTACTCATTTGTTGTTCATCAAAATTAACAATCATCACTTAAGACTTATATTTAATGTAATGAATCTTTTCTAGCAGCATTTAAGACATCACTCAAAAGAACAAGTTTTAGCTTAGAAATACAGGATACCTCGTTTTCACAGTAATTTTTTTTAAGTCCCAGTGATGAACTGTAAGGCAGCTTCCTCAAAGGAAGTTAACATTGATGTATCCAGTGCAGCCAGTGTTTTTAATCTGAGGTGATAAAATCTTTATCACTTCCAGCTTGACTTTCCTGTATCTTAGTTTGAGACTTTTGGAATAGTTACTCCTTTTTATTAATTGTATGGTTGTTGTTACGCAGCCATGGAAGGAAAAAGCTGAACGTCAAAATCATCAACAATATACCTGAAAGACAAAATACAGTAAAATAAAGACATAACACTCTTTAAGGAAGTTCATAATCATTAGGTGGGTATGATTTAAAATTGTGTACAATTATATACCTAGAGATTTGGAAAGCTATGCTTAAAGAATTAGCTATATCTATTCTCTATGAAACATGTTATTTTTAAATCTTATATTCTCACATAATTTTTTTTCAACTGCAAATCCTTGAAAACAGTATGTACTTGGTAAAAACAGTAGGAGCTAAACAAGAATACAAAGGATAAACAAAATCCACAGATTTGTAGTTTCAGTTTTTGTTCTATTAACCGATTTGCTGAGTGAGAAATCTTGGGCTTCGGTCCCTCTCTGTCACCCAGGTTGGAGTGCGGTAGCATGATTACAGTTCACTGCAGCCTCAAACTCCTAGGCCAGTCCTTCCACTTCAGCTTCCTGAGTAACTGGGACTACAGACACTACATCTGGCTAATATTTTAATTTTTTTGTAGAGACAGGGTCTCACTACGTTGCTCAGGCTGGTTTCAAACTCCTGGCCTCAAGCAAACCTCACCTGAGCCTCCCAAATGAAAGCACTCTTGAGTTTTCACTTGGAGTGCTCAAATAAGAACAGTAATAAGAACAGTATTTGCTTCTTTCTCTCTTTATAATGGTTTCAATCTAAACCATTAGTAGCTTTAGAGATGTATTAAGCAAAATATTTAACATTTCAGTCGATGAAATTTTAAATCTTAACTATAATAAAATTTTTTTTTAATTCACATAGCAGTAAGTCTTCATTTTTGAGGTTACAACAGACAGATCTAGCATGTAGCTGTTGGTTAATTTTTCAATGTAAAATAAGGACTGAGGAGAGTGATCCAAGGGGCTCAAATCACTATCCTGAAAGGTAAGTCTTCGGTGGTTAATTTTTTATCTTACTCCTAATGTATTTAGGCTTAAAGCCCTAGGTCAGTTTAAATTCAGATTAAAAATTAGTTTTTGTCACATGCAATTTAAAATTAGGTTCCTTTTATTTGACAACAACAGAAAATCTGAGTTTGGCTAGCATTTAGATACCCTAAAATATTTATTTATTTATTTTTTGAGTTGGAGTCTCACTCTGTCGCCCAGACTGGAGTGCAGTGGCTGCTCCCGGCCACCGCAGCCTCGACCTGCTGGGCTCTGGCGATCCTTCTGCCTCAGCCTTCCGAGTAGCCGGAATTACAGGCATGCGTTACCACGCCCGGCTGATTTTTTGATTTATTGTAGAGATGAGGTCTTGCTGCCCAGGCGCGTCTCGAACCTGCGGGCTCAGGCAATCCACTCACCTCAGCCTCCCAAAGGCATGGGATTACAGGCTGAGCCACCGAGCCCGGCCTAAAATATTTTTAAAAGATGAGTCTGTTTCAAACCAAAGAGCTTTAAATGAAAAAATATCGGAAACAACCATTATGCTAATTGACCCACACATTTTGTCATTTTTTAATAAAGTCAGGTCTAGAAAATAGACAATACATTTAAAACTCTTTCCAAAATGAAACTGTAGTTTCATAGGAGCAAACAAAATTTGCTAGTTTTCATTGTATAAGATGTATAAACTAGATAATTCTATATATATTCTTTTTTTGTGTTTTTTTTTTTGAGTTGGAGTCTCACTCTGTCGCCCAGACTGGAGTGCAGTGGCCGCTCCCGGCCACCGCAGCCTCCACCTGCTGGGCTCCAGCGATCCTTCCGCCTCAGCCTCCCAAGTAGCTGGAATTACAGGCATGCGCTACCACGCCCGGCTGATTTTTTGATTTATTGTAGAGATGAGGTCTCGCTGCCCAGGCGGGTCTCGAAACCACGGGCTCAGGCAATGCACTCACCTCAGCCTCCCAAAGGTGCGGGATTACAGGCTGAGCCACCGAGTCCGGCTATATATATTCTTATAGTCATGTTTCTAACTTTTAATTTGGGAAAATGGCAGAAGCCTTTAGAGGAATTATAATTATCTCTGCTATGATGAGAAACAAGAAAGAGAACAAGGACTTTGACTTCTAAGAATATTTGATCACTGGGTGGTCAAGAAGGAAAGAAGATAAATATCTTGGGATTATTCTTTTTTTTCTGTTTCATTTTCCTGGCACCCTGGCATTGCCTAATGGAGCTTTGGCAGTTGAGTAGTTTGTTTGGTTTTCTTGAACTACTCATTACTTAACTCTTTGAATGCCTCATAAATTACAATTTCTTTGCTTTTTTAGAGACAGGATCTTGCTCTGTTGCCTAGGTTGAGGTGTGATCATAGCTTACTGTAGCCCTGACCTCCTGGGCTCAACCTTTTATTTTTTGTAGAGATGGTGGTCTTACCATGTTACCCAGGCTGGTCTTGAACTCCTGGCCTCATGCAATCCTCCCACCGTGGCCTCCCAAAATGCAAGGATTACAGGTATAGGCTGCCACACCTGGCCTAAATTATAATTATTATTCTCAGTTTTTTTTTAGTCTAAGTGTTACTTAGACATTTAGAGCCATTTTCCCCCAATGGGAAAGTAGCTTCAATATATGACAAAATTCACTGGCAGGTAGAATGTAATATTCTAAAAACTGCCATTTATTTACGTTTTTTATCCACATATATTGAAGGATGCCTTTATTCTCATAAGTGTCATAAACAAGCATAGAAACATGCCTCTTTAAACCAAAAATTACAACAGAAATTTTATGTTGGATCTATTTAGAAAAAAGCTAGGAGTCCATAGACCAACTAGGAATGACTCTGAATGCATATTTTCTACAAGCTAAATAAGACCATACATAATTCAAGAAGGTTTGATCCCAATTCCACTTGTAAGAGATTCTTTGCATAGGAAGCAAAGAACTAAATAAAAGTATATTTGCTTTTTGTTTGCATGGTCGGATAGTTTTGGAGTAAGTGGTTCTTTAAGATGTTTTGGTGGCTGGGCAAGGTTGCTCAAGCCTGTAATCCCAGCACTTTGGGAGGCTAAAGCAAGAGGATTGCCTGAATCCAGGAGTTTGAGACCAGCCTGGACAACTTGGCGAGACCTCATCTCTACAATAAATCAAAAAATCAGCCAGGCATGGTGGCAAGCACCTATAGTTATAGCTACTAGGAAAGCCGAGGCAGAAGGACTGCCTGAGCCCAGTAGATCATGGCTGCAGTGACTGTGAGCGTGCCACTGCATTCCAGCCTGGGCAATAAAGTGAGACTCCAACTCAAAAAAAAAAATGTTTCGGTAGTGGCCACATATAGTGTGTTATTTTCCTGTTTGAACTATACTAACAGGAAGAGAATGTAGTCACTTTCCCCACACTACCATTCTCTGGCATGTAATTAATTAATTAATCTATTATGAATCTTTCCTTCCATTTTGTTCTGGGACTAGGTCAATAAGTGGTGCTTTGGCTAGAAAAGATGTTTTAAGAAAAACTCCAGGTCCTTTTACAAAGACTATCAGATTTTTTTCTTGTAAAATTCTAGAAAGACCTATGTTTATTTATTTTTAGAGATAGGGGTCTCACTGTGTTGCCCAGGCTGGCCTTGAGCTCCTGTGCTCAAGCAATCCTACCACTTCAGCCTGTCCAGTAGCTGAGATTACAGACATGTACCACTGTGCCTGGCTACTTTTTTTAAAAGTTTTTTTTTTTTTTTGAGTCAGGGTCTCACTCTGCCACTAGGCAGAGTGTAGAGTGGCACAATCATGGCTCACTACAGCCTTGATCTGGGCTTAGGATCCTTCTGCCTCAGCCCTTCAAGCAGCTGGGACTACGAGCACATGCTACTATGCCCAGCTAATTTTTGTTGTTATTACTTTTTGTAGAGACAAGGTCTTGCTATGTTGCCTAGAGGAACTCCTGGGCTCAGGCAGTCCTCCCACTTCAGCCTCCCAAAGTGCTGTGTTTATGGGTGTGAGCCACCACACCTGACCTTATTACTAGCATTTTAAAATGCAGTTTTTTCCTGATATTCATGTTTAGGCCTATAGTTATTATTGACCATAACAGATACTTAGTGTGAGTTAAAGAAATGGAAGGTGAATGGGAAGAGTAAAGTATGATAGCTATTCAAACCTGTTGTGCCGGTGTTCCCTCCTGTATGTGTGTGTATTTTTTTTTTAATGAGCAACAAGAAACAATATGTTAAACACTGGGTAAAAAGAAGGAGGAATTAATGGAGGGTCAGGCATCTTCATATTCACTTATAGATACGAGTTATAAATCAGTCTTAAATAGCTGACTAAACAAAATTTAAAAACTGATATCTTATATACACAAGTTTTTTTGTATTTGACCTATCTTTTTTTTTTTTCTTTTTGAGTTGGAGTCTCACTTTCTCACCCAGGCTGGAGTGCAGTGGCACACTCACGGCCACCAAATAGCTGTAACTAACGGCCCAAATAGCCTTCCAAATAGCTGTAACTACAGGAATGTGCCACCATGTCCGCTAATTTTTTTTTTTAATTGTAGAGATGAGGTCTCGCCAAGTTGCCCAGGTAGGTCTCAAACCCGTGGGCTCAGGCAATCTGTCACCTCGGCCTCCCAAAGTGCTGGGATTATAGGCATGACACACCACACCCGGCCTTGACCTATCTTTATAGAAGAGTTTTATATATCTGATCCAGATGGAAGTAATGGGCATGTAACTTGTGGATAATTTTAAACCTATGCTTAATACAGATATTCATTGTTTCATGCTCTTCTGCAAAATCAGTCAAATGAACAAAATGATACTTTATCAGGAGCTCACAAATTCGAAAGGACTTCTATTTTTTTTTTAATTGGGGTCTCACTGTCACCCAGGCTGAAGTAAGTGGTATGACTGGCTCACCACAGTCTTGACCTGGGCTCAGGTGATCCTTCTACCTCAGCCCCTCATGTAGCTGGGACTATAAGCACACTCCACCACATCCAAGTAATTTTTTTATTCTTTTGCAGAGACAGAGTCTCACTTTGTTGCCCAGGCTGATCTCAAACTCCTGGACTCAAGCAAGTCTCCCATTTCCAGCCTCCCAAAGAGCTGGGATTACAGGTGTGAACTACTGTGCCCCACCCAAAAAGCAAATTTCTTCAGCAAAAAAAGACATTTTGGTTGAAGTAAGCACTTCTTTTTTTGTGCTCAGATCTTAGAGTTTCTTAAAACACTACCTTAAACTGACTACCCTTAACTAGATTTTGTTTCTTTGAAGAGAAAAACAGTTTTAAAGGTTGCTACACCAAATAAAAGCATGTTAACTACCGTTTTCATTTCTTTTTTGTGCATAGTTTGGCTTTGGAAATTGACAGTGTTATAGTGACATTCCATATCATATCATATATAGCATTCTAATCTCTCAGACATATTAAACAGAAATATGCTTACCTAAAGAAGGAGCCAGCCAGTATACTGTAAAAAATTGAGGGAATGCTTCATCAAAACACATGAAATGTAGTGAAAGTGCCAAAGCTGGATTAAATACTGCTCCTGTCAGACTTCCTCCTGTAATACATTTTAAGCAGAATGATTCCAAATGATTTATCTTACATGTTCTTGCAGCTGGAGGTAAACGAGTTTCTAAATGTGACTTCTATTTTATTTTAGATATGTTTTTTTTTTTTGAGCTGGAGTCTTACTCTGTCGCCCAGACTAGAGTGCAGTGGCACGCTCCCAGCCGCCGCAGCCTCAACCTGCGGGGCTCTGGCGATCCTTCCGCCTCAGCCTTCCAAGTAGCCAGAACTACAGGCATGCGCTACCACGCCCGGCTAGTCTGATTTATTGTAGAGATGAGGTCTCGCTAAGTTGCCCGGGCGGGTCTCAAACCCGTGGACTCAGGCAGTCCACTCACCTCAGCCTCCCAAAGTGCTGGGATTACAGGCTGAGCCACTGAGTCTGGCCATGTATGTATTCTTATTTTGTGATCTTCCTTTGTAGAATCACCTGGCCTGTTTTTTATGTTTTGTTTTTTGAGTCAGACTCTCACTCTGTCGCCCAGGCTGGAGTGCAGTGACACGCTCACTGCCACTACTGCCTCGACATGCTGGGCTCAGGCAGTCCTTCCACCTCAGCCTTCGAAGTAGCTGAAACCACAGGTGTGCACCACCACAGTCGGCTTATTTTTTGATTTATTGTTGCGACGAGTTGCCCAGGCTGGTCTTGAACCCATGGGCTCAGGCAGTCCTCTCACCTCAGCCTCCTTTGGGAGTGCTGGGATTACAAGTATGAGCCACCACACCCAGCATCTGTCCTGTTATAGAGTATAATAATAGGTTATAGATTATAATATGCCAGGTACAACAAACGGACAAAGGACATTAAGAACTTAAACCCAGCTGGGCTCAGTGGCTCAGCCTGTAATCCCGCGCCTTTGGGAGGCTGAGGTGAGCGGATTGCCTGAGCCCGCGGGTTCGAGACCTGCCTGGGCAGCGAGACCTCATCTCTACAATAAATCAAAAATCAGCCGGGCATGGTAGCCTGTAGTTCCGGCTACTCGAAAGGCTGAGGCGGAAGGATCGCCGGAGCCCAGCAAGTCGAGGCTGCGGTGGCCAGGAGTGGCCACTGCACTCCAGTCCGGGCGACGGAGTGAGACTCCAACTCAAAAAAAAAAAAAATTATCCAGAAAACACAACATGATTATCAGTAGTGTCATTACTAAAGAGACTAAAGTGTTCTCTTTGCTGTCATTTAGGTCCAAAGAATCTGATTTTTACACTGTTTTAAGGTAAGAAACAAAGGATAAAGGTAAATGGGTACACTTATCTACAGTGAAAGTATAAACAGTAGGAACTCCCAGACAGCCATGTGAAAAAGGGCCTGATCCTTGACACTTGATAGTCAAGGGCAGAACATTCAATGAAGCCTCCAGTTCTTAAAATAACATCAAACTTTCAGGTGGGGAAATGTCAGCCTGAGCAATTACACTTTGTTAAGAGTCCCAGAGACTGTGAGCAGGTGAGAAAGTGGCAGAAATGTCATGTTCGATCACTTCAACCTCATTCTTGTCAATATCCTTAATTCCTTAGCCCCACTGCTCTTCCTGACCACTTGGCTAGTAGAATACCAACCATGGAGCCAATAGTCTCTGCACCTTGACCAGGAATATATCTGACTGAGCAGATTGCTGCCATGGTAGACTGATGGCCCCTGGCTTTAATGTGAATAGAACCCTCAGGGCTACCCAGGAAGCAGCTGGGGTTTTTTGGGGTTAACTCTGACTTCCCTTTTCATGCTCCTCAAACCTCCTACCTCATTACCTTCTTTATTGTCTTGGTAGATGCCACTATGTAGGTCACAGAGAAAGGATAAGTCATCAGAAGAAACACCTTCATCTTCCTGCCATCTCATTTGCATGTCTCCTCCCACCCACATCCATTCTTCCCTCTCTCTTCCCTGTGATAATGGAAGAGTTGGTCCTTCCACTTGTCTGAAGTTATTATTCTACCGGCCATGGCTGCAATAAAAAGATACTTGCACATGCATGTTTATTGCAGCTTTATTCACAATAGCAAAAACACAGAACCAACTCTGCTGCCCATCAAAAGTGGACTTGATAAAGAAAACATGGTACATATACCCAATGGAGTGCTGTGCAGCCATAAAGAAGGACAAAATTACGGACTTCGTAGCAACTTGATTGGATTTAGAGTCCATGATACTCTGATCTATCACAGAACAAAGAACTGAGGAGTACTACATGTTCCTACAAGTGGGTCCTGAACATTTATCACAATATTACAAGAGAGGGATTGGCAGTAGTGGGATACTGCCAGGGGCTGGGGGAGCACGTGACATCACCAAGGGAACCTGATCCTAAACCAGGGCTGGAAAGGACCAGTTAGGGGCCCAAACTTCACCTGTACATAAACTACTTATGTACCTCATCCTGATTTGTACCCTACATCTTTACAATAAAATAAAATAAATCTTTTAAAAAAGAAAAGAAACATTGAGAGACAAGAAAGGGCTTTTGGAAATTGAAAATTTGGTTGCAGAAGTGAAAATTCAATACAAGCGTTGAAAGATAAAGTTGAGAACATTGCCCAGAAAGTAGAATTAAGAAAACAGGTGAAAAGTGGAAAAACAGCTAGGCTTGGTGGCTCAGCCTGTAATCCAGCACTTTGGGAGGCCAAGGTGAGTGGATTGCCTGAGCCCATGAGTTTGAGACCAGCCTGAGCAACTAGGCGAAACCGCATCTCTACAATAAATAAATTTTTAAAAATTGCCGGGCATGGTAGCACGTGCCTGTAGTTCCGGCTACTTGGAAGGCTGAGGTGGAAGGATCGCCGGAGCCCAGCAGGTTGACGCTGGGGTGGTCAAGAGTGTACCACTGCACTCCAGCCTGGGCAATGGAGTGAGACTCCAACTCAAAAAAAAAAAAATGGGAAAACAAAATATCAGAGAACTTTCTGGAGATCCCATTTGCAACAGGAGTTTCAAGATGAGAGAACAGAGAAACATATCAATTAAAAACAAATTTACAAAAAGGAAATTTCATGGAGTTGAGAGATACTAGTTTCTAAATTGAGAGACCAAGCTGAATGCCCAGCAAAATGGATGTAAAAGGAATGTCTCAAAGCCACATTATTATAAAATGTTAGAATAATGAGAATAAATAGACCCCAAAAGCTTCTGGAGGGAATAAAACAAGTCTCACCCAAAGGAACAAATTACCATAGCATTAGATTTGTCTATATCGATACCTAAAACAAGACACTGGCACAGTTATCTTTATCATTCCAAAGGAAAAAAGAATGTGTGCCCAGTCAAGTTATCAATGAAATGTGGAGGCACAACATTTTCAAACATATGAGGGTTCAAACATTTACCTCTTGTGCATTTTAGAAAGCTACTGAAAGACATGCTCCATCAAAATGACAGTAATTCTTTTTTAAAAAGGACGATCCCTGTAATGCCTGAGAGGTTCAACCTTTTCAAAAAAAAAATTAACCGGGCTCAACGGCTTAGTTTGTAATCCCAGAACTTTGGGAGGCCAAGGCAAGTGGATTGCCTGAGCCAGCGGGTTCAAGACCAGTCCAGGCAACTTGGCGAGACTTTGTCTCTACAATTAAAAAAAAAAGATACTTGGAAGACTGAGGCGGAAGGATCACTGGAGCCCAGCAAGTCGAGGCTGCGGTGACCGGGAGCAGCCACTGCACTC